CTTTGTTTAAAGTAACCTAACGTGGATATTCTATGGGGTCTTATAACAATAATTAAATTTCATTTAGAAGTCTAATTTTCTTCCCTCCCCCAAGTGATCAAGTATGAAATAACCTCATTACTCTATATGAAGATTTCTTGTATAATTAATCTTTCCATCACCATGTTTTAATCACCGGAATTTTAGGTCCAATTAAATTTAGCATCAGAGTCCATTGTACTTTTTATGTAAATGCATGTTTGAAGGATGAGTTGAAGGCACCTTTAATATTACAATAGCAGTCGTATCATGTTTGTCTGCTTTGTGTATATAATGTTTATTTTCCTACAGATTTCTGCTAATTCCCTAAGTAACCTGGTTGTTGCCATAATGAGGTGGTTAGGGGTGGATCTTAGCTGCATCAGGAGAAGTGGTGATGGGGTCAGAGTTTGGTCTGTGCTGTGGTGACACTGATACAGAATGTCAGGTTACCCAGGAGGACAGATGAGGAGGCCTGTCTGAGTTGGTTACGTGAGTAGAAATGTGGACGTTTGGAGGCTCGTTACAACCTGGATGGTCTCCATAGCGATTATTAGCTCTAAGACCAAAAGAAGGTGATGTGGCTGACAATGACCTGCCGCTGCTGTAGGCGGCGGTTACTGCGGCAAGGTCTTGGTCCTCACTGTGGTACAAGCTTATTCTGTGCCCAAATATGCCCATACAACTCGGTTCAGTGCTTTAAGGCGATTAAAGAGACGGTATGGATTCCTGAGTTATGAATATGTTGAATTAAGGACAAGAGGATGTTGTTTACTGGATGGCATGTTTAAGAAGCCAAAAAAATATCTCATTTTATTTCCTACCTTTCTAGTAACTTCTTCTCACTGAGCACACATGGTGTTCTCTGCTTCACAGAGTTTGGCTAGGCTTGTCTGACCACTGCGACCATGCAGTTTGGCTAGGCTTATCTGACCACTGCGACCATGCAGTTTGGCTAGGCTTATCTGACCACTGCGACCATGCAGTTTGGCTAGGCTTATCTGACCACTGCGACCATGCACTGGGCTATGTGTCTAAAGTGTCCATGCGCAAACAATAGGCATTTCCTCAGGACCACCTGCAGTGCCAGAGCTGAGCTGCAGGAGGCAGAATTGGGAGAGACGCTGTTAAACATCAGGGCATCCTCAGTGTAATGTGCTGATTTTAATATTTTTGTTCGTTGAAAAGACATCCACACCAAAGGATTTAGTAATTGAGCAATTACATTTGTGGTCAAAGTTGCATTGTTGACTGTAAGCTTTCTGTTTTTTGTTAGTGTGTAAATGTGGTATAGGAGCTGTTCTAGAGTTGTGTGTACAATATTCAGCCAATGCATTAAACCATTTTATCGAATATGCTTATTCTTTGTTCCTTGTTTTTATAATCTGTGATTTGTGGATAGACAAACATTTAAAGTGCAATGATTCATTATCTGTGCCTTTTTCCTGAAATCCTGAATTAAGAACCTGCTGTATGTCAACACGCCGCTTATGTAATGTAAACTGTATTCCACGTTTGAATTATCCAGGGTAACGCTGTCTTTGGAGCGGTGAATTGTGTATTTTTAAAAAGTGTGATGTATCGTCTCTGCTATTTGTACAATAATATCAGTTTAGGCAATGCAGTCATGTTGGAAAGCCGTTGAATTGCTAAAACAACAAAACAAATACAAGTTACAGCCTTTTTGGATGGGAAATGGAAACCAAACACACCTTACTGGACATAACTCTCGTTCATCGTTATTTTTAAATAGTAATAATAGCTAGTGCTCATGTTCTGTAGTCCTGTGGTATAATGTTTGGGAATTTTCCAGGATTCGTAAACATCCACGTGGCATTGGGGGGGGGGAATTAAATATTTGCTCAAGTAAATTAAATTAAATTAATTCAAGTAATTTAATTTTAACCGTGTGTAACCCAGAAAACGTGTTTCGTGCGCTCCTCCAAATAACGCTGTCTGTTTTTTTTTTTTTTTGATTAAATAGTTACCAGTTATTACAACACTGAGCAACGCATCGGACAAAATGAAAAGACATGGGTCTTGTAGTTCGAGCTTTCAGCACCTAAAGCTTGCTTGCGTTCCCCGTGGGAGTTCTATATAGTCTTACATTGTAGCGGAAGGTACTCTGTATTGTAACACTGTGGGGATAAATACTGATGAAGGGCACCGCTAGATGGCGCCCAGACACAGCTTGCCAGTGCCATTCGCAATCAGACAAGTAGTATTCAGTCCAGTGTTATGTTATCGCAGTTTTTTTGTTTAGGGGATTTTTTTTAATTATTAATAATACTTTTAAAAGCACTAACGGATTTAATCAATGAACTCTGTAATATATGTGTTCCATTAAATCATCCTTATCACACCTACTGATTTAATGCCAGACAAACCTGGCCCTGTGTTACTGTCCCAAGGCTGATTTCAGTTCAGTCTGTCTGACATCTAAATTTTAAGCTTCGTCATCCTAACATGGCAGGAGCGATTTAAAGTCCCTTTTATGGAAAAATCATAATGTCATCAAAGAATCATGATGAGATTAAGATTTGCATGTCAATTCGGTTGAAGTCTAAAATCTGTAACTAAAAAGGATGGGATTATGTGAGAGAATGTCCCTATAAAGATATTAAGGTCAGCTTTTGATCCTTATATTGTTTGTGTGACTAATAAAATGTTGGACTTGAATGACTGTGATTATGTCTCGTTTGTGGTCCAGATGGTTTCCTGCATTGTTGATTTTATTCGTATTCCTGTCCTACAGCACACACGTCGGGTCTGTGGGATTTCCCACGCCCCAAAGAGGCTGCCACCCCCACGCCCCAAAGAGGCTGCCCCACCCCCGCCCCAAAGAGGCTGCCCCCCCCCCAGACCTTGCCCGGCTTGCTGCCCACCCCCCAGCACCAAATCGGCAGCCTTACTTGTGCTGTCTCACAGCATAGTGTCTGTGGAAAATGCCACCCCCCCCTTGACCTCTGCTCATATCTCGTGACCCGGTCGGAATTAGGGTGGATGTTCCTGACCTTATTACCCATGTTATTTTTGGATTTAAATTAACCGTGGTATGGATTCCTTAGCAGTGTAAGGTTCCCAGTTTTCTTTTTAGCCTTTCGAGCCGCTGCTCCAGATCTGCTTTTCCTAAATGTTCATAATCAACAGACATAAGGTCTAATTAGGGGAGTCTGTAACTTATTTATCGCTTAAATATTGAGTTTATTTTAGTGCCGCAGTTTCATATGTAGGTTAGTGTTCTACTTGGCAACCTTAAAGCTTGGCATATATGTTAATTTTAACATCTATTTATTAAGGCAAATCTAATTACAGGAAGCAAATTGTATTCGGGGAGGTTTTGGGAATTTGTAGCATTGTTGAAATGGGGGCATTTGTCACTGCGCCTGGGACCTGGGCTCTGTGCATGCCTTCATGTAAGGTAACTGGCTTGGAATTATTCTTAATGCTGCAGTCAATCAGTGTTAGTAAGTGCAATCAAGGTTTGCAGAAATGCATTATATTAACAGTGATTTATTGGCATGTATCAACTGAATCTAAGTCTTTTCTTGAGAGAGGAAGTACACTCTGAGAAATGTGTTTATGGGTAATGGTTTATATATACGAATTGGGTAACTAAATGCATTTTAAAAGTAATTTTAGATATGTCTGAAAAATACACGCTCACATGAGTGTGTTTGACCGCTAGAGGGAGCCAGACTTCATGGACAATATTCTGTTATAGCGCAGTTTCGTCTCACAAACTAAATTGAACCACAACGCCTTTTTCGGTAGTGCAATATTTCGATTGTATCAATTAATCTTTAATGAAGCAATTTGTGAAAATCTTTTAATGATTTATAAAACCAGCACTTCAGACAGTATATTAAAATATATTAACAATTGCTTTCATCCCTGTTTCCTTATCTGAAAGGGGCTTTATTTTACTTGTGTACGGTGTGAGAGTAGTTTCTCACTGTCTGCTTAATGCATGTGGACTGTATCCTAACCTATGAGCAACTGTGGTTTGAACTAAATTAAGCCTTTGAGTTGTTAATTGACCAAAACTATTTATATCTAATAAGGATTGATCAACGAATTGTGGTACTGTGGTTCCATCATTAGATTCTCTACAATCTGTCTTGCGTCATTTCTCTCTCTCTCTCTCTCTCTCTCTCTCTCTCTCTCTCTCTCTCTCAAACACCGACAAGACAGTAACCGGGACAATCGAACAAAAGACTAATTAGGTTACTTCAGGGCTCTCTACGTGTACACACCCTTGTAATAAAACTCAATTGACCAGAATACGTGTATGGCTCTAATAGATGCATAATAGCCGCAGCAGTATCTCGGTCCGTTAAGCAGAGCTTAAGGGGTCAGTCACAGGAAGGAGGATGTATTCTGGGCAGAACCAATTTTTTTTTACCCAGCTGAAATTTTGATGAAGGAAAATTGATAGGCGTGTTCTTCCTCAGTGTAACCGTCAGACTCCATACAAACTGTGAGCAATGTATGGAATGCTCTCCTTTATCATCCAGCACCCCCCCCCCCTTCACTAAAGAGAAACAACTGCAAGAGCAGCACTTACAGGTGACAGGGCGAAAAGCTTTACTCCTGCATGTTTCATTATTTATGCTCCGGTTCGATTTGTGTTCTGTTTGACCCGAGACGATTGAAGAAGTGTGAATGCGTTTTAGTGTTTAGTGTAGCTGATTGTGGTGTCAGAGTACACAGCTTCTGGTCTCGGGTGTACGGTGACCTTGGGGGAGACGGCTTTCACCATAATGGTTTGAAGCTGTCTTTATTTGTTATGTTTGTGTTAAATCGTTTATAAGGCACTAACTAGCAGAAAAGTTCTTTTCAAATGATCCATAGAATTCAAAGGAAGTTTGTTTCTGTGGCGTGGCATGATAAAAAATGATATGATAAAATGTTACCATTT